CCCACCAGGCCAGACGAAGTCAAATGAACCCGCAATCGTGGAACTCGGAAAAAGGAGAGAAGCCTCCGTGGGATCTACAAGCTGTCTCGCGTGGGGATTAAAGTACTGGAAGCAAATGTGCTCTGCGGAGGCCGGAGCAGAATGCTGCGTCTCGCACAGGTGCTTATAAATTTTATCCTGCATCTCCGCATCCGACACCTCGGCATCGACAGAAATGCTGCCAGTGGACGTCGACTTCCCCGACCCACAAGGATCAAGCAGCAGAATCTCAACCTCCCTCATCCTGCGCTGGCGCAGCAGCTCCAACACACGCTCGTTGGACATTGACGCGGGACACAAAACGACCTTGACACCCACTAACACTTTCTCAACCGACGACTCCCACAAGTCTTGGTCTTGCACGCAAAGCAAACGTCTGGTTTCATTCCCGGTGCCACTCACGAGCTGCTCCAACTCCCCGCGGGAGTGAATGATGTTGTAGGGTCCCAGCGATTCCGCATCAACGATGCAAACAAGGGCAAAAAAAGGATCATCACCTGAAATACGACAAAAGCTCTCTTTTTTATCCGGAAGGATCTCCACAAAAAGAATCTCAAGACAATTGATGTCCTCGTGAGGGCAAGCCTTACGCACGCCCTTGCCACCGATGCTGTCGTACACCCACACGCGAATTCCGTCGGGAGTTTGACCGAGGTCTTCAGCAATAGCGGCGTGGACTTTGTCTATGGAAAAGGAGGCGGAAACTGTTGTGCTTGACACCTGGACCGAGGGGCTGTAGTGACCTTCCAGCGCCCCCGCAAGCGACTCTGCCTCTGTAATGTATCTAAACGTAACGTTCGTATAGTTCTCCTGCCGTATGCGTCCACATTCAGCCTCGATTTCCTCTGCAACCTCCTTAATATGTGCAGGGACCGGGTCTTCCGCCAATACATCGCCCAACGAGGACTTATTTACGTACACGAGAAGCGACGCCCGCTCGTTGGAGACCCTGGAAAACGTCCCCGTTTCGCTGCTGCAAGAAGCCGAACGCATGACTTCTTCTTGCGAGAGGCGAAACACATACATGTCGTTAAAACATACCCACTGATCCCCAAAGCGAACATACGTAATGTAATGCCCATTCTCTGCTATGCCTTGGTGTACGACAATGGAACGGAGTTCATAGAGAGGACTCAAGGACTTTTCCTCACTTCCTCCAGCCTCTCGTGAAAGGTACCGCTCAAGATCAAGCGTGGTTGAAAAGCTCCACTCCCCAGGCAGTGTTTGCACGGTCAGTGTCTCCATTGAAAACTCTACCCGATTGGGGTGAATGAGCAAAACTGGTGGGAGACGCACAAAAAGCTGGCTTCGCTCAATGGTGTGCTTCGTGCACGGCCCTCCTTTTTCGATCTCCAGCAAGACCCCCTCAATGCGTTCGGGTTTGGCCCAGTGGTCAAAGGAGTCAAGGATGGTTTTCATGTTCTTCACAAGCAATTCAACGTCGTAAAAGCCCTCGTTTCGATGCGAGACGTAGTTGCCGCCGTCCACGACACGCGTGATGTACGTCAATTCCCCGTAGAAAAGCTCACGAATAAAATTCTCCTGGGGAGTTCCCTTACAAATGATTTCCAGTCTATCAAACAACTTCTGCATCATTTCATGAACATCGTGCTGCACCCCCGCGGCGTCGGCGCCCCATCCAAAGGCGTCTGTCAGCTCCTTCGTGGAGACGAGCGGTGTCAGGCAGTGGAGTTGTGCAAATATATTCCGCAACGCTAATATGATGGGGTCACGCTCGGGGTGCGCCATGGCGTAGAGCGTCTTGCGAAAGGCTGGCAGGTAAAAAAGGGCCTGGATGACGGAGTTCAAGTAGCACGTGTTGCCTTGATTCACGAGTCCGACGTACGGCAGTTTCCCCTCCACTCCGTCTGCACACCCTTCATTGTCCTCGCTGGGCAACGTGCCGCGCGGCGACTGTTGCGCGTTCGTCCCACTCATGCCCCTTTATTTACTTTTTATTTATTTTTTTTTGCAGGCAAACGTCGGAGGAGCCACCACGAAGCACCCGCACCCGCCTCCTTTTCCTTCAGTCAATTACTTCACTCTGTCGCTTCTTTTGCGCTGAAGAGAAAAGGCACAGGCAAACTTCGAAAGAAAAAAAAAGCCGTCGGGCGGGGATACAGGCAGAGAAACTGACGTACAGGCAATAATATCGGCAGTAATAATAATAACAATACTGCCCAGTATCAGAGAAAGGGAGAAAGCAGAATAAAATAAAATAAAGGGAGGAGGGGGGGGGGAGGAAACTTGGCGAATGCGAGCAGAGGAAGAAGAGCAAAAAGGGCAGAAAAGGTGCAAGTGCCGCTGCTGCCGCCGCCGCTGTTGCTGGTAGTGTACATCATAGTAATGGAGGCTCGCCTCCTTCGTGCTTCCCAAGTTGAAATGGCCGCTTGGATGCGTAGTCGGTCGGCCCAAACAGCAGCAACGAGGAGGCTGGCTGATTTACCTTCTTTGCCCGCGCCGCCTCTGTTTCACGCTTGTATCCCCTGATTGGCTTTGGCGCACCCTTGGCCGCGGCATCCAATGCACGCTTTTCAGCAAGCTGGTTAAAAAATCGCACCTGCTCTCGCCTTCGCTGCGGATCACAGGAGTAAGTACGAACCCCAGACGGTGCCGCGGCGCCAAACTTCAGCTTGGAAGGGATTTCCGCGATGCGGCGTTCGATGCGAATCATCTCATTCGGCGACAGACGCCCCGGGGGAAGTCCCTTCAGTTCCGGTGGCAGAGAAATTTCCAGGCGGGCGTTCAGCAGAACCTGAGAGATTAATTCAGCGAGCATGGGGATATTCTCCTGGCGGGCGTACAGCTCCAGCATCTGCAGGTAACTTGCCAACTCTCCCATGCTGCCTAATGTCCGTGAGGCGCCAATGGCGTCCAAAACAGTTCTCAGTAGAATTTGAAGCGTGTTTAACTGCTCATTAAGCTCCTGGCACTGCCGATGCATGATAGTATTCTCTTCATGACCGACCCGCCAGAGCTCCTCCAACGCGGCAATGTCAAACTCTACCGTGGAAAGCGTTTTGTCAATAATGTGCAGTGACTCAAGCTTACGGACCTTCTTGCGCAGGGAACGTGGTTGATATATGGCGTTGATGGGTGCACGAAAAAATAGCACTCGCGTAAACATCTGGTTTGCCTTATTCCCTACTTTCGCCGCCCCTTCCACCTCATCCTCCAGCAGCGGTGGCAAATGCGGCTCATCATTCCTCGTCAATGAGGAAATGGGACTTTTTCGCAGTTTTTTCCCCACGGGGAGCTGAAAATACTTCGTGGGGTAACGGGTCATGAGGCAACCCAACAATCGCGCCGTCATCGAGACAAGGACCTCGTCGTTTTCGTCGAATAGCCCCGGTCGGCCGGCGGCGACGCCTTGCTTGTTCACCGCGTGAATCATTCCATAGGACCGACCACAGCCTTCGCTTGAAAAGATGGGAAAAATAAGGCAGCTTGTCATGGAGTTCCACCCCAGCTGCCGCAGCTCCTCCTCCATCGCCCCGCGGTCGCGCTCGCTCACCGCAAACCGCTGCGGCTCCCGCCCGTTAACCGCAATGAACTTGCGACAGACGGTGGTGTGAATCTCCTTCGCCAGCATCAACTCCATGTCACTCCCCGCCAGGGGATCGCCCACGGTGCTGTCGAAGGGAAATCGGGCGCCGCAGCGCAAGTTATCATACTCATCGCAAATAAAGATTCGGACGACCTCGCAGCGAAGCAGAACAGCCGTTATCTCCGCAAAGACACTCAACAGTGACGAAAAAAACTCTCTCACCGAGAACGACTTTGCGGCAGTGACCCGCATTTTCGACTGGTCCTTGTCGGAAGAGGCATTTTGGCTTCGCTCCTCGTTCGAAGGGGCTGATTCCGACTGCGAGCGCTGCAGCGCCGCGGTCCCCGACTTTCGCGCCGCGTTGGCAGTCTCCTGCGGCCGGCGTGGCCCCGCCGCCTTCTCCTCTAGTTTGTGAAAGGCGGACTTGTAGCCCGCCTCCAGTGAGGCGTACGCCTCCCGAAGCTGCCGATTCATCATCGCGCGAACGTCCTTAAGGAGTTGCCCTACTTGCGGCACCGCGTGCTCCTCGCAGCGTCTGCCAATTTCGCTCAGCGCGAGGGTAATTTCATCGGAGATCAAATCCAGCGACGGCGGCAGATCGTGCATCTTCTTAGAGGTAAACAAGTTCTCCAACTCCTGGGATTTCTGGACCTCATCCAGGTGGTGCTGGCGCAGCCTCGCATGTTTCTCGCGCAGCCGCTCGAGAAGCAGGTCCCTCGGCAGAGGCGAGGCTCCCAGTTCGTCCGTTGGCGGTCCTTCCATTCTTCCCTGCGCGCCGCCCAACATACACACACGCACAGAGAGAGAGAGAGAGAGGTCGAGACAGAGAGAAGGAAAAGAAAAAAACAGCACGAAAGCAGAATGGCTGTTTTCGTCGTTCATTTTGGCACTCCGCCTCCTCGTCTTTATAAATGCAAGGGCTATGCATACATATATATATATATATATGTGTGTGTGTGTATGTTTTGCCCTTAGCTCTCTCTTGTTGTTGTTGTTCATTTCCCTCCTCCCGCTTTTTTTTGTTTCTTACTTCTCCGAGGCAAGCGGCGTCAGGCGTGAAAACACAACGGAGTGATGCACCTTGTGCTGCTCCAGGCAGCCCAACACGCAACGAGCGTCACGGAGCGAAAAGCAGCCCAGCAGCTGCTCCGCCCGGCTTAAAAGTGCGGGAAGCAGACGGCGCAGCTCCTTCGCACAGCTCAGTGCCGTCTCATTGTTTGCCCGTGAGCCACTCAGCATCGCCACATACTTGCAGACGCTCCCGAGCTCCGTCGGCTTAAGCTCCGCATGCAAGTCGATGCACCGGTTGAGAACGGCTCCCACGTAGGCCTCATGACAACAGTTTAACAGCGCAATCGCCTGCAGCGCGTAGATAACGTCCTTCGGGGTGTACGTCGCGACGTCCTCCACGGCCCTCCGTGAGACAGACCGCACCATCTGCACGCTATTCCTCTCACGCAGCCGCAAGAGCGAGGAAAGGACGTTGAGTGACTGTCGTGCGTCGAGTGGGGCGGTGTGCAGGCGACAGAGGAGGTGATCCAGTTGCGGAATTGGCATGCGGCAGCGCTTCACGAGAAGCGAGATCAGTCGCAGGACGCAAACCAGCTCCGCAGGGGCTGCATTCCCCGTGTACTCTCGCCTCGTCAACTGGCGAGAGAGATGCTGCAGCGTCTGCGCATCTGCGAGCTCAAGCTCGGCGGCGGCCCAAAGCAGCGTCAGAGAGTCCTCGGGACGCGAGGCGTGGTGTGCGGCACGCTCCAGCAGAACACAGAGCCAATCACTCGCGCCTGGCGAAAAGTACGGCGACGCACCGCTCCAGTCCTCCTCCGTCTCCCCCTGCTGAAACTCCGTCGTGGCGGGGCGATGCCGTTTAAGGCACCGTGCCACACCTGCCAGGGCCTCGAGCACCAGCAGCGACTCCTTCGCCCCGCACTCCGCCAGCCACTGCGTGTAGTTCGCCTCCATCTTACGAACGACACCCTGAACGCGCCGGCGCCTAACCTGCTCCGGCTCCCGGCCCGCCCGGATTCTTTGCAGCAGCCTACAGTGGTCCACGAGACCTGGCGGCCCGCCGCCCCGCGCCGCATCGAGGCGACGCTGCTGCTGCGGCCTCTGTGCCGCCAAGCCGCAGCAGAGTGAAAGGCCGGCAAGAGCAGCACGTCGCATCTTGCATGATGATGATAGCGGCGCACAAAACACGCAGGCCCAGAAACGAAACGGGCCGCTTCTCAAGTGAAGAGCCTCAGCAGAGGCAAAAACAAAAAACGGAGAAAACGGGGGAAAAAGGTATCACAGGAAAACAAAAATGTGTTGCGTGCAATGTGTGGGGTAACAAGGCCCTTTCAGCTGCCCAGAGGAGACATATAAAGCGAAGACAAACGAAAAGAAAGAAAAAGATTAAAATAAATAAATAAAAACGTCTGCAGATCAAAAAGCAGCAAAAGAAGTGAGAACAAAAAAAAAGAGGGGACAAGGGGGAGTGCTCCCTCGTCGTCTCTGCATTCACCGCTGCTTCCTTTGCTTTTCTTCCCAGCGCCTCACTTCTTCCGGCGCTTCCCATGAGTGTGTGTGGTTAGGGGCAACCGCCAGCAGCGCGTTTGCCGACGTGCAGCCCCCTCTCCTCCGGCACGCCCAGCCCCTCCAGCACCGAGTACGGCATGCAGTAGACGGGGTTGATCTCATTCAGCGGGTGGTCCTCGTACCCGAGGAGGCTCAGCCCGCAGAGACCGTAGAAGGTGTGGTACACGTCTGCCATATTCCCGGGTTTATCCGCAATCCCGCCGCCCTCGGCATCCTGGCAGGCCAAAATAAAGTTAAACAGAGTCTTGCGGTCAATCCAATCCGCGTGCCCAAGCATAGCGAGAGATGACACGACCCACCAGCTGTAGCACACATCCGCCTTTTTTTCAGGGCGGCCATTCAACCCTCCAGATGGAAGCTGTCGCATAGCCAGCCAAGCTGACAACTGCTCCTTGTCAATGTGATGCAACGCGTTAGCGATACTAAGAGCCCCGACGCAGCAGAATATCTGACCTGCGTGGCTCTCGGCCCCTGGGGCAACCCCAAACCCCCCATCCCAGTTTTGGCACTGCAGCACCCAACGGACAGCCGCCTCCAGGTCAATGAGAGGGAGCCTTCCAAGCAGCTGCAAACAGCTCAGCGCGATGTAGACAAAGCGGGTGTCTACCTCCCCCCACTCATCGCCCTGAAAGGATCCATCGGGGAGTTGCATGGATGCCACCCAACGGGCACACTTCTCCCTGTCGATGGAGTCCAGGGCGCCGAAGAGGCAGAGCAGCTGGACGGCACTCAGGGTGTAAAGCATGTGGGAGTCTTGCCCCAGGTTCCCACCAAAGCCACCGTCGCTATTCATGCACGCAAGCACAAAAGTAATAATATCTTCCCGCTTAATTTTATCTAATTGACCCATCAGTTCCATGGCGCTAAGGCCCCAAAAGACACCATTCATTTTCAAGTGCTGCAACGTCCAGTAGCCTAAATTGTCCTTGTGGTCGTCCAGATTCAATATGAACTTCTGGTGCAGCTCCGTCAAGAGCCGTGTTAAGGGCTCTGCCGTCATCGTCCTTCGAAACGCGTTCTCCCCACCCGCCCAAACCCAGACCTAATTGCAGCTAAAGTGATGCACGGGGGGGGGAATAAATAAATAAATAAAGCAATGAAACAATAATAATACATGAAAAAGAAGGGAAGAAAAGAAAAACAAAAAAACTATTAAAAAAATTCGTACAAGAAGGATATTGCTTGCAATTAACAACAATAGATAACGGGGTTACACTGGTGTAGATATGCTATTCATATAACCGCAGTTATTGAATACTGTAGCTCGCCACCTTGACAAGGCCATGGGTGTGTCTTCTTCGCCGGTCCTGTCCTTTTGACACTCTCGTGTCAGCTGGTCGAGTGGGCACACAAGGGCGCGACTCAGGACCATGGCATAACAATACGCTTCGCTACCGACCTCACAGCACGTGCTGCATCGTAGCGCAGTTCCTCATCCCGTAGCGAAACGACGGCAGAATCGGTGAGGAATTCCACCAGTGCCTTCTTTACCTCTGGATCCTTCAATAAACCTTTTGCAAGGTCCTTCGCTATGCCACGCAGCTGCTCCTGTATCCACGGGTCCAGGACAGTCATCAAGACAAACTTTTTGGTCACCTCCTGGGTGTAGTGGTCCTCAAAGAGGGCGCGTAGGAAGGAGGAGACGGCAATCATGGTGTCATCTTGCCGCAGCACCTGGACTACGAGCCGCACGACAAGGTCGAGGGTTTTGGCATCCTTCAACACATTTTCCACAACCTCCTTTGAGAGTTGTATGGCCTGCTCACGCAGACGCGCGTCGCCCAGTGCCTCCGATGCCACGACAGCCGTGTGATGCACGGTGTCGTCCTTCACGGGGGCATAGAAAAAAAAGCTAACGGCGCCTATCCCCATCACTGCGCCCATGCTGGCAACGACGCCCTGCTGCCACGACGTAAACAGGCGTCTGCCGAAGCTCTCCTGTGACGTCCCAGCTCCTCCTTTTGTCTTGCCGCCTCCATCTTTTTCGCCCCCGTCATCAATCTGAGGAGTGGGATTGCCAGGTAAATTTGCAGTCGTCTCATGAGGCGGCTTTCGCCGAGACACCGACCGCAACGCGGCCACGTGTACCGCAAAAAGGCACTCAACCGCCTTCACACGTCGCAGCATTTTGCTCCCGCAGAGTAACTGAGGTGTGGGAACGGAAGAAGCAGCTTAGGGACCACCCCCTCGTTCACCTCCCACAGGCCCTACCCTTACGTGGTGCTTCCCTCACAAATAGCAGCAAAAGTTTGTTTTGTTTGGTTGAAAGAAGGGGAAATAAGAAGGCATCCTCGCTCACCTCCATGTATGGAAATGGAAAAAATTTGTCGCCAAAGAGAAATGAATAGGTGACATATGTGTGTGATTGGGAGGAGGCAGACCGCCCCTCAAGAGCGTCAGCCTCCCATGAGAGCAGGTCGTCCCTACACCTACAAGCGATGCCCCTGGAAGCGAGTGATTGTGACCCAGGGCGCAGTTGGACGCGACAACGACGCTGCAATGGTTAGCTCGTTTGCGTAATACACAGCAAGGCGTTCCGAGGTGCCTCAGGAACCTGCGCCGCCGTTCCTGCCCACCGTTAAAATCTGGAGCTGCATGCCCTTCAGCCTGTGCATGTGTGTGTGTGTGTGTGTGTGCATGTGTGTCTGTGTATTGCTCGCTCCATGTGTGTCTGGTGGGGGCGGGGCGATGCCGAGAGGCTGCCCAACGATGGAGGGCACCTCCGTGAGGCCTTCAGGGAGCCTGCGCAGAGGGCGCCTCGCCGCTGCGCCCTGAGGAGGCTTTTTTTTTTGGCTCCACACCGCCCCGCCCATGGGGAAGCCGGAGGGGAGGGCCTGCACGCCCCGCCCAGCCGTCGCCCCGCCGCCTCCATTTGTCGCGGTGGAAGCGAATCAACCAAACAGACCGACAGCAGCAACTCGGGAGGCCGTCAGTTGTAGCTCCATGTCCAAGTGCCGCCCCTCCACCAACGCGGTGCAGAGAAAAAAGGAAGTGAGGGAGAGGCGGAAGAACAAAAAAATAAATGGGAGGCAGGCCATTCAAATGAAATTGAGGAGTGTCGGAGAGATGAAGAGCAATCGCGAATTGCCGCCGTTGCAGGCTCCCCGCATGTGGGGCGGCAGGCGAGGTCGCAAATGGCAAAGTTATAAGTGTTCCCAGCGTAACAGGCGGTGCAGCACGAGAAATTTTCGCGTGACCGGAGGGGCAACAACAAACAAAAGAAAAAAAAACACTCACTTAGGAGGGAAGGATACAACAACACCAAAAGCCGGATTAGGCGCAGAGAAGCGGTGAGAAGAACACAGTCATATCTATATATATATATATATAATATATTATATATATATATATCTATACATAAATTACGTGTTAACATTTACACAGAGAGTTTTCTGCTTTAACTGAAATATGAAAAACACACTAATGAGATTCGAATTTCTCCGTTTTTTTTTTTTATCTTTTGCTTTTGCTTTTTTGGTATTGATCCCGCTGTCAGTCTCAGGCCGGTGTGCGTCGAGTGTAAAAGTACCTCCCAGCGAGAAAGCCAATCGTGCCAAAGAGCGACGAAAGAAAGGCAAGGTGAAGTACTTTACAAAACCGGGGTAGCTGCGCGTCGTTCCTCTTCAATGGTACGACGTGGGCGGTGACAAGGCGCGGCTGCGGCGTCGCCGCCGGCACATGCATTGCGCATGCCACTGCGGCGACGACGGCCGCCGGGGCACTTCGCAGCTGCATTGTGAGCTCCTGCTGAGCCTTGAGGCTGCTTAGCGCGTAGCTCCAACCAATCCGTTCCGCCGCGACGCACTCGCAAAAATCAAAACCGAGCATGCGAAGAATACCAACGTAATACAGGAACCTCGTTAAACAAACGGGTAGGGGTCGTCTGGGCGGAGACAGCAAGGGAATACACTCGTGGAGGGTGCAGGCAAGCTGCGCCAGGCTCATTTCTCCGCCGGAAAGAATGTACTTCTGGTATTCTGCCTTGGGCGCCATGAGCACCAACGCACACGCCTCCGCCACATCTCGGACGTCCACAATATTGTAATGCAAAGGAGACGTAAAGCGGCGTCGCTGCTCCGCGAACCGCACCAGGGCCTGAACGTTGCTGTCACTCTCCCCCAGAAGTGAGGGGCCCACCACCATGGCAGGGAGAATCACGGTCAGCGGCACACCTGCCTTGTAGGATATTCGCTCAGCCTCCCGTAGGGCGGCCGCTTGCCCACGTTGCAGACTTCGTGCTTTGGCGACCAAACTTGTTTCGACAGGGAAAATGGCGGAGGCAGGGCTAATCAAGACCACCCGTCTGACGCTCTGGCCGCTGGAGCGTATGGAGAGAAATACATCTTGTATGGATGTGACAAACCGGTGCTCAATCTCATTCTCATCAAGAATGTCCGAAGTATTGGGTCCGTCAACGTAGACCACGGCGTCGCAGTCTGCCACAGCCAACGAAAGGTCGTCCTCGTAAAACAAGGAGAGACGGGAGGGGCGTGTTTCAATAAGGGTCGCTAAACCGTGGAGGGCGCTTTTGCCACGGTAGTCGCGTTCCAGCAGTCTCACGTGGTGGCCGTTTTTCAGGAGCCTTGCCGTTACGTGGGCGGCGAGAAGCCCCTGGGGTCCAATAAGAAGAACGCGGCGGAACTGGTGCTGTGAAGCCTTTTGGCCGGAGTCCGCGCTTCTGCGTATGAAAAAAGAGCAGGATTCGTCAGGGCACTGCGTCTGCGTCGCGCTTCCAACGTCGGCGCACGACGCAATCGAACCCAACGGCATCTGCAGACTCCCCGGGCTCTGAAAATCAATGGAAAAGGTCTCATTGATGCTAATTTTGCTCGGATACTCATCTGGCTGGAGAAAAGAGCCACACGGCGTGACGGGGACGTCGTCCGCGTTGAACACCTCAACGCCCCGGCCCAAGTACCTCGGACGCTCAAAGAGGAGCACCCCCTTATCGCCCTCCGCGTTCACCGCCGTCGTCATCGCCCGCGCTTGACCCACAAACCTCAAATTCACTATCCAAATACCTCTACTTTTGCCTGTGCTTTCGCCTCTCTTTGTTTGTTTGTTTGCTTTGTTTTGTTTTTTCCTTGGCCTCCTGTTATTTATGTGCTTTTTTTTAGTATTATTACTATTTCGTATTTACTTTTCTATCACGTCTATTTGGCCTCGCCTTGTCGTTTTCGCCCCTTTGGCTCGTACGGCTCTTCACGTGCCGCTGGGTCCCGCGATGCAAACTCCGCGGAAGCGCTCTTCCCCCTTCACCCCTGCAGAGGGCCACGCCGACCCGCCGCTGACGCCAACCTCAAGACGGTTTTACGGCAAAAAAATAAAATAAAATAAAAATAAAAATTTAAACCACAAAAAAACAACAACAACAACCCTGTTGACTGGCGGCCAGTGGGCGGGGGGTGGCCAAGCGGAGCGAGAGTTACCCTCCAACGGCAAACCAGTTATACAGACGTGGGCGTACCTTCGCTGCGGGCCAGCCACGGTAAACTGAGGGCCACAACAGAGAGAGAGGCAGAGAGAAGAAGAAGAAAAAAAAAAGAAGAGAGAGAGAGAGAGCGAAGGTACAGGGAGGCGTTTGCTACGGCACAGGCGGCCAAAGGGCACACCGTGAGGGCAGACGCGTGTCAATAAGAAAAAAAAAGACACAAAAAAAAGTCAAGAAGATTCAACACTACTTTTTTTTCTTTTTCTTTTTTTTTCCATCCTTGCAGGGTAATAGTACCGCCGTCGCGTTCAGGAGAGAAGCCATGCGCCACGAGAATTGAATAAGAAGAAAAGTGTTGGAGGGGGAAAAAAAACGGAGAGTTACTTCGCCTCGCCTCCTCTGCTTTTCTTCTTATCCAACTCTAGTTCCCTTGCGGCGTTCAGCTCTTCCAAGTGCGTGTGCCGCCCGCCAATACCACCGCCGCCGCTACCTAAGCATTTACTTCCTCTTCTTCTTCTTTTTCTTTGTTGTTGATTTTGGTTTGATTTCCTTTTCGGCGCGCGTTCGCCGCCGCGCCGGCGGGTGCCGTCAGCGCAGGGGGCGCACTCATTCCGCCAAACCCCGGCGACGAACCCCGCGTCAAATGCTCTTCGGGAAGACAAGCTCGTAGAACTGGTAGATAAAGGCGCACTCCACGCCCCAGAGGAAGAGGTTCCAGCTGGTCATGCCCTCAATAATCTCGGGGCTCTTCTTGTACGGGTCATCGGGGTCGAAGTCCTTGAACTCCTCGGGCCACTCCTCCTGATTGATGACAACTTGGGCTCGCTCCTCCTCCGTCAGCTGAGGGCGGCGCTTCGGGTCACGAAAGACAAACATGTTGTAGGCGCGGGAGCTCGAAAAGAGCGGGGCTGCTGCCATTAAGGCCGTCCCCCTCGGTGCCATGCGCCGCAGAAGCATCTCTCCTCGCGCTTTACTTGCAATCGATTTTCCCCCGGTAGACGAGCGCGCGCGCGCGAGAGCGAGAAAGGCGGTGTTCTCACAAGCAATGAATATCCCCTTCGTCCAAAAGAAAAAAAAAAGGAAACGACGCGCGCCAGCAGATGAGAAATGAAAAAAAAAAAAGCACACACACTGGAAGGAGCGGCACAGACAAACACGCGTAGACACAATAAAAATAATTAAACGAACAACAACAGACTTGCGCATTCCATTTCCTTCTCGGCAACTTTCCGACTTGTGCAAAGTTGTCGCAGGGATGGGCCGTTAAAAAAAAAAAGTTTTACCTCGCCTCCCCACCCCCAGAGCCTTTGCTTGTTTGTTTGTTTGTTTGTTTTTTCGGGGCGGGGGCGGGTCGCATCAGCGTGGGTCGTAAGATGCCAGTTGTGGGATGCAAAGATTGTACCAGCTTTTGGCCTCGAAAAAGCTTCCCGCCCTCTTCCAGCCCACGTAGCCCTTCCTCAAGGCCGTCTTCAGGCCGGTTTCCCCGGCAGAGTAGTGCGGGTCGGCGATAAGGTAGCGCGCCTCCATTGTGGCCAGGTTTGCGTCGACGCCTAAAATGGTGTGTGCGTAGCTGCTTCCTCCGATCATCACAGGGCAGGCCTTCTTGTTTCGGAAGTGGCTTACTAGAAGTTGCTGCACGGACGGGTCCGTGTCCAAGTCTGCACCACTTTCCATGCGGCGTATGGTGCACTCCATGCCCGGCACGAAGTGCTGGATCACGATCATCACCTCAAAAGAGCCAATCCAGTCCTTTGAGCCCACAAATGACTTGCGATTCATTTTCTCCGGGTCCTTTGCATGCAAAATACCCTGAATGGCGCGAATGTCTGGCATCGGCTCCGTCATGAAGCCCTCGTACTGAAACCAAGAGAGTATTGTTTGCACGCTCCTGTACGCGCAGCCCCACCCATCATCCCTGAAGCCGTCCACGCGGTAGTGGTAGTAGTCGTACGCCCCGCTCACGAGATACGTCCTCCCTCCAGGAATCGCCGAGGTTGTCGGAAGCTGAAGATGAATGTTGCGGAGAAGATGCCTCTCCCAGTCTTGTCCCGTGCGGGGCACACCCGCCGCAGGGGCGGAGGGCGCCTGCAGCGTCCCCGGCCACTCCTTGAGCCGCTGCCCGAGGAGCAGCAACGGACGCATGGGAAGCAAGGCCGCACGGTGCTCCGCCACTCGCATCTCCCGCACCCCGTAGTGAATGTTCAGCGGGTGTGGCAGTGGCGAGGGGCAAAACACGGCCGTCGGCGCCCTCACCGCGGCGAGAAAAAACGAACGCAGGAACTCCTCCAGGCGAAGCGCAATTTCTTCCAGAGAGTCGCCCAAAAACACCTGCTCGTTTACCCCCTCATCCGTCTGGGGAAGGCGCAGGTGTCCAACCTCGCCCGTGACGCGCACCTCCGAGACGGCCGGCTCACTCGCCAGGCACAACTCGCACGATCCCTTCAGTTTGAGAAGCCTCAGCCACGCCGCCACCTCACGCAGATCCTCCTCACTGCCGCCAAAGCTCTTGGCTACCGGCACCGGCACCGCCGGCCCCTCGCTGCCGCACCGCAGCACCACCAACCAGTGCACGTTCTCCCCGACGGGGCCCAGGGAAACCTTCACGCGCGCCTGGAGGGGCCACTCCCTCGCCACCGCAGCGACGTGGCCGTCGTCGTGGGCCCTTCGCAGCGCATCCCTGTCTGCCACCCGAACCACGTCGCAGACGCTCAAAGAAAAGGGCAAAATAGACCCTACACAAGGCTCGTCTCGTGTCACCGCGATCGTGTGCCCGGACTTGCGCAGGATGAGCAGCGGCAGCTCGTCTTCCAGCGGAACGGAAGAATTAACCTCCTCAGACATGCAGGGAATGGCACGGCCTTGGAAGCGCGCAGGCGGAGGGCAAAAGAACAAAAGACAGGCAACAGTGAAAGTAAAAAAAAAAAAGAGAGTTAAAAATACTGAAAGAAGAGGATGATTGCACACACAGCCGCATACCTTAGATAAAAATAAAAAATAATAAACCCTCTTGACGAGATTGGGGCTCAGCCACACAACGCACGTCAAGCAGTCCGTGAATCACAGCCGCTGCAGGAGAGAAGAAGGCCAAAATGACGTGGGACGTGGTAAAGCATCCCTCAAATATCCCTGGGGCTGACAAAAAGCCTCAGCAGAAGACCTGAAGCGTTGCGCCTTTGCATGGCTGTTGCTCACATTGAAACGGTGGCACAACTATCAACGGCACGACAAGCTCTGGTTCCTCTTCTTCTATCTTCAGTTCCTCACGTTGGCTTGCGCGGCACTGACGCAACACGGGCAACCTGCACCACAGAAAGCGTAGCCGCAACTGCCAACAAAAAGTCACGACGTCTGTGTGCATCGATGAATAGATATTTGGGTTCGTGAGGGGAACAGAAAAGCGGGTGGAGGCACGATCAAGCAGAACCCAGTCAAACTCCTCCACTACCTTTGTTTCCGCCACAACAAGCTCCTTCCCCCATCCAGGAAGCTGATGGCAAGAGACGCCCTTCTTCACGTGTTTGGCGGCGCAACACTCAAGAAACTCCAGGCTACCAATAACCTTCACTGGTTGGGACGTCGGGTTGCTGTTCACCACAAAGACACCACTCAAGCTGTCTCCAATCACTACTGTCGTTGAGGCGAGCGCCACTGTCAAGGCCGATTCCCCGCCCAAAGTTAAGAGGAACTCTAGCGGGATGCGCTGCTTCGCTAATTGACTGGCCCGAGTGTGTAGTGCCCGCTTAGAAAGCACGTGGGCGTGAAAGTCTTCCACTTCTGCGGGGAGCAGGTAACTTTGCAGCGGCCCCGTCAAGGCAGGCGACGGGGTGGGCTGCCGAAGAATGACCTTTGCTCCAACGTCAAACCCCTCCAGCGGGAACGATGCGGGAAGCAGCAGTGGGGTGAGAATCGCCTGCGCCGAGTACACCTTAATTGGGATACGGAGCTTTACAGGCACACTCACATCCAGTGGGCCACAACGAACACCGTACAGGTGAAGAGCGTAATAAAAGCGGATGCATTGACCGCGAAACGAGGGCGGCAAATAATCGGGCAACGTGAAGGTCACAACCAGCGCCCTCGACTCCCGCTCCCGCAGGGGCAAACTGGTTACCATGGAAACCTCATCCGAGCAGAAGAGTGTGTAGGCATTGTAGTCCTTCGATAGCTTGTCGTCGACAAGCATTCGACAGCGCTCGGCCACCGCCCGCTCCCCTGCCAGAGTGTACTGCAGGCGTCTAGAATCCACGGCACAAACGCCAACAATTCGCGCCGTGAGGTACTTCACTCGGACCACCGGAGGGGCATCGGCGTCGACGTCGGCAAAGTAGTTGTCCACCTGCCCGAGGCGCACGGCAACTCCATTGGAAGTGCCGCTGGGTGAAATTGGCAGCCCATGGAGGTAAACCTCGGCGCGGACGACGTCGCCCGGGGCGTACCAGCGGCGATGCAGCGATGCAGTCAGCAGCATCACACTACTCCCGCCGCCAGTGGCACCGGCTCCCTTTTCTTCTCTTTTTGTGCGCGCGCGTGCGGGTGGTGGTTGTCAGCAACGTTCGCGGTTGCATGCGGACACGCTCGCGCCAACGCCGGCGTGGAGAAGAAATCCAAGAAACAAAAGCAGAAAAAAAAATGTAAAAAGGCTCCGCACAAAAAAAAAAGATCCTACAAAGTCAGATGTCGTCGTTTGCACCCGCAATCCAAATACGCACGCACACACACACACACACACACAGAGAGAGAGAGAGGGGAAGAGAGGACACAGACTTCCCCTCCTCGCTGCAATCGCTCTCCGTCTCGCGGTTTCGCCCTCATTCGTTTTTTTTTCCCCCTCGTTGCCACATTCATTGCAACAAAATCACAGTAAGTTTAAGACTGAGTGCCGCTTTAAGAAGA